ATCAGAACAAAAATCGTACTATAGTGAATGAGGGCGGGAGTGCAGAGTGGAGACCCAAAGCCCATTTGTAGGCCACTGGAGATCCCCTTACAGAGGGTTCTCGGTGGGGGGGTAGGGGGGGACGGGGGAGCAATCAGCCTCATGATAAATGGAGGGGGAAAGTTGAAGTTGCCAAGGACTTCATTGGATCACCAATCATCACCCATAGAATTCTTGGTGAAGAACCTAAGTGACCTTGGACAAATCTGCTGCAAAACACCACTTTAAATTGTACTTTAAAAAGAAAGATGCCGCTTCCACGACCGTGTGCCTGATCTTGCCACCCCATGCGTGCCCCTCCTCCCCTTGCTCCCAACAGAACAAAACAAAACATACTGCTATTGTGCTAGTGAGCTGGTTCTGCAACATAGCAGCTCTGTGTAGAGTTTCCAAGGCTGTCAGTCCACAGGAGCAGATGATCTCAACTTTCTTCCTTAGAGTGCCTGGTAGGTTTGGGCCACTGACCCAGTGGTTAGCAATCCAACACTTACTGACAGAACCAGCAGGGCTTTAGGAACTGACAGAACCCCGGGCCCGAAGCCATGATAGTTTCAGTTGCCTCATGAATGCAGTGAAAAGAGAAGATTGGAGGATAGTTGAGGCATTTTCATTATGGGGTTGATGAAGACTATGGACTATACCGTGGACTGCCAGAAGAACGAGCAAACCTGTCGGAAGAAGTACCACGTGAATGCACCTTAAAAGTGAGGATGGTGAGACTTGGTCTCATGTACTTCCAACATGTCATCAGGAGGGACCGGCCCTTAAAAAAGAGCATCATGCTTGGTAAGGGAGAAGGTCAGACGAAAATCAGACTCTGCAACACCAGTGGTTGCAACAATGGGCTCAAACGACAGTGGCTGCGGATGGCACGGAACTGAGCATTGTTTCATTGTGTTGTGCTGAGGGCCAGGACTGACTCAGTAGCCCTTAACAACAGAAATAACACAAAGTTCAAAATTAAAACGTTGGTTAAAAAGTGACAGTCAAAAATTCCCAGAGTTAATTTTGGAACTTACACCTTAGTCATTTCTGTCTGGTTTAAGAGTAGAAAATTAGCTTAGAGGTGTATCCAAAAAAGATAGAAGATAAAGACCAAATTGATTTATTTTTGTCAGTTTAATCAAGCTAACCATTATGAAGGAAGTTATTCTCTTCCCAGAGAATCATCAGTGGCATACAAAATATCCAAGAATGAATTGTAAATCTTGAGCCTATCTGATATATTTTGCTTTAATTTCAATAAAAGCTCTAAAAGTGAAAATTAATTACAGGATGGATTTAGAAAACCAACAGGGGCCAATTGTGTTTACCAGCTGCGAGGACACATCACCCCCGTCCGAACCGTTGCCTTTAGTTCTGATGGGTTAGCCCTGGTGTCTGGTGGACTCGGCGGGCTCATGAACATATGGTCTTTAAGGGTAAGAACATGGATTTTATTTATTTTTTTATGGATTTGATTTTATTAAGAAATTTTTTCTACATTACCTTAAATATATGCTGAAAATTAACCTAACTAAAACCCAGGATATATTTTATGTAATACGGTTAATAAAGTCTTGAATACTAAAGTAGCTCCTTTAAAAGCCTCTGCCATTTTAAATTTTGCTTATTGATGATAAATGTTTTTAATGTTATTTTGACTCTAGGGAATTGAATAATAGCCACATAATTGGATAGTGCTCAATTTAGATGAAGGGTGGATTTTAGAATGTAGTGCTTTTTAAATTAAAAAAAATTTTTTGAAGTACAAATTTAAAATGTAAATGATGTCTAAAGTTAAGTAATGGGTTCTGCTACACACATCTCATTTTAGGATGGCTCTGTCCTACAAACTGTGGTGATAGGCTCCGGGGCCATTCAGACCACAGTATGGATTCCGGAAGTCGGGGTAGCTGCTTGCTCAAATAGATCAAAGGTAATGCAATTGTATCCAATCATAGGGTAAAAGCTTGTAAACAATGTAATAAATCATTGTCTAAGTACCTCATTTTCCAGGGGAGATTATTGATATCTAGAGGGATTATTACTTTTTCTATTACGCCTAAAACTTTTGTGAAAGTAATTTTTGAGTGATTTCATCTCCATTGAAAGCTACAAAGTGGACTTTGACTTGCCATCAATTTTGAGATAGCATAAAACTATCTTAATATCGTTTTTTTCTAAAAATAGCCAAAGACAACCAAATCAAGTATAAAAGATTAATTTGAGTTTCAGATTTAATATTCAGTTAAAAACAAAACGAAAAAAAAAAACACCTTCCTATTCCCTGCTTTGAAGGAATTTTATGTTTTGGCATCATTCCCTGCAGCATTGCTTCTTGTAACCTTTTAAGTTTAGAATTGATGTGCTCCTGGGTTTACAGTTACGTGGTTAAATGGCATTAAAAGTAGAGCTATAAACTTACAAGAATAGTTGTACTGGCAGTAAATGGTGGCATCATCTTTTAGCCACTTAGGTGGCTTGTGTGTAATAAAGCACGGAGCCAGAGGTGGGCATGCTGCTTCACTTAGAGCTGTGTCACCTCGTAGACAGAAACTACCACTTCTAGTACAGGACTGGCAAACTTCTGAGACGCAAGAGCCAGGCCTGTCCCTCTCAATTATATTTTTACAAACAAATCAGAGTCTCATGTATGTACTGAAACCACACATGGCTGACATGGCCTGCAGTTCTCAGTTTGCCAACCCCTGCTACAGAATCTGGGCGACCTCCTCAGTGTTTTGAAATATGCTGGATCCCTTGTCCTATCAAACAAACAGCAAACCCACTGCCTCTGAGTGAATTCCAACGTAGTAGAGCGACCCTGTCATATGGAGGAGAACTGCTGCTCGGCAGTTTCCAAGGCTAAGTCTTTATCAGAGCAGAATGCCTCATGCTATTAAAAACTGGTGGGTTTGAACCAACAACCTGACAGTGGGCAGCACAACTTTTACCTCACCTGGCTTCTTCCTAGTCCTACAAGCCTCTTGAAATAGTTAACAGTGTCTCTGTAAATAAGCTAGCCCCAGGTAGTTTACATATTTTATGGTTATCTCTTATTCTCTCATTTTAAACAAAGTTTAGGATGTTTTAAAATTCATAGACATTAAGTATATAGCATAGAATGTCAAAAAAGCAAAAATATTTCTTGCAATTAAATATCTCAATTTAAACAAGCATACCATGTGGCATGATTTGTTTTCAACCAGGACGTTTTGGTGGTGAATTGTACAGCAGAGTGGGCTGCTGCCAATCACGTCTTGGCAACCTGTAGGACAGCGCTGAAACAGCAGGGTATTCTGGGATTAAACATGGCTCCCTGCATGAGAGCATTTCTAGAGCGGCTACCCATGATGCTTCAGGAGCAGTATGCCTATGAAAAGGTAACTCATTGTACTCACACCTGGAGAGCCTTAGGTGCCTGCTGTTTGAGGATTTGAATTATAGTATTGACGATTGATGTTACTCCTTGAGAGCATAAGGTTTGAGGAAAAATAATGAGGTTCTTTGGGCAAAATCAAACAAAGAGAGAAAGTTATGTGTCAAACAGTTCAGTAATTCTAAACCTATTTTCACGGGAGCAAAATAAGAAAGCCCAGCTCTTAAACAACTTAAAATGCTTGGCCTCCAAGAAAAAGGCCTTCCTTTTTCTGACCTATATGTCCTTTTTTGTATAGCTTTGTGTAGAGTGTGGATATGCCTTGTTGTTGCTAGCTCCCTTCAAGTCAGTTCCAACTCGTGGTGACCTTGTCTACAGCAGAACAAAGACTTTGCCACTGCCCAGTCTCAAGCACTGCTCACAATTGTTCTTATGTTTGAGCGCATTGTGCAGCCACTGTGTCAATCCACCTTGACAAGGGCCTTCCTCTTTTTCACTGCTCCTCTGCCTAACCAAGCATGATGTCCTTCTTAAGGGATTGGTCTCCCCTGACAACATGTCTAAAGTACGTGAGACAAAGTCTTACCATCCTTGCTGCTAAGGAACATTCTGGCTATACTTCTTCCAAGACAGACTTGTTTGTTCCTTTAGTAGTCCATGATACTTTCTGTAGTCTTCTCCAGCGCCACAATTCAAATGCATTGATGACGCTATAGTCTTCCTTCTCAAATGCCCAACTAGCACATGCCTATGAGGGGATTGAAAATACCAGGGTTGGAATCTTCAAAGAAACACCCTTGCTTTTTAGCACTTTGGAGGGGTCTTGTGCAGCAGATTTGCCAATTCAGTACCGGTATTTGGTCTCCTGATTGCTGTTTCCAAGGGCATTGAGTGTGGCTGCAAGTGAGATGAAATCTTTGACAGTTCAGTCTTCTCCATTTCGCTCTGTAATGGTTTCACCTATTGTGCTTCCAGTGTGAGGATGTTGGTTTTATTTGCATTGAGTTATAATCTATACTGAAAGCTTCAATCCTTGATCTTCATCAACAAGTGCTTCAAGTCTTCCTAAATGTCAGGTTGTTAGTAAGCCTTCCTCCAATCCTGATTCAGCATTCTTCATATAATCTAGCTTCTCTGATGATTTCTACAGTATACCGTTTGAATGAGTGATGAAAGGATACAACTCTGACACACACCTTTCCTGATTTTAGACCATACAGTATCCCCTTGTTCTATTTGCACACTACCTCTTGATCCGTGTTCTGGTTCTGCATGAGCACATAGTGGATTTCCCATTCCTTTCAAGATTGTCCATAGTTTGTTATGATGCCTTTAGTGAAATGTCTTTGCATGGTCAATAAGGCAAGTAAGCATCGTTCTGGTATTCTCTGACATCAACAATAATATCCCTTGATTTGAGTAGAATAGTGAATATCTTCTCCAGTAAACCCTTATGGGACACGCAAGGGTGAACTAGTTGTCTTCATTGCCTGTTCTCAAGTCAGCTCTGATGGTGATTCCCTGCTTTTAAAAGTCAAACTGCTCCATAGGATTTTCTTAACTGCAATCTTTTTTGTTGTTTTTTTTAATAATTTTGTTGGGGGCTCTTAACAGCTCTTATCACAATCCATACATATATCCTTTATGTCAAGCACATTTGTACATATGTTTCCATCATCCTTTTAAAAAACATTTTCTCCCACATGAAAAAAGCACACCAGCCTGTGTGATCATGAGGTGCTGAAGGGATTAGTTATCAGGCATCAAAGAACAAAAAATCATATCATTGTCTGCTCACCTCCATGATACGATCGCTGAAGACAAATGGGTGCATAAGCAAATGTGGTGAAGAAAGCTGATGGTGCCAGGCTATCAAAAGATATAGCATCTGGGGTCTTAAAGGCTTGAAGGTAAACAAGTGGCCATCTAGCTGAGAAGCAACAAAGCCCACATGGAAGAAGCACACCAGCCTCTGTGATCATGACATGTTGAGGAGATCAGGTATCAGGCATCAAAGAAGAAAATATCATATCATTGTGAATGAAGGGGGGTGCAGAGTGGAGACGCAAAGCCCATCTGTAGGCAACTGAACATCCCCTTATGGAAGGGTCGTGGGGAGGAGATGAGCCAGTTAGGGTGCATTGTAGCAATGATGAAACATACAGCTTTCCTCTAGTTCTTAAATGCTTCCTCCCCACCCACTGTCATGATCCCAATTCTACCGTACAAATCTGACTAGACCAGAGCATGTACACTGGTACAGATAGGAACTGGAATCCAGGGCAGATGATCCCTTCAGGACTAGTGGTAAGAGTGGCAATACCGGGAGGGTGGAGAGTGGGTGGGGTGGAAAGGGGGAACCGATTATAAGAATCTACCTATAACCTCTTACCTAGGGGATGGACAACAGAAACGTGGGTGAAGGGAGACATCGGACAGGGCAAGATATGACAAAATAATAATTTATAAATTATCAAGGGTTTATGAGGGAGGTGGGAGCAGGGAGGGAGAGGAAAAAATGAGCTGATGCCAGGGGCTTAAGTGGAGAGCAAATGTTTTGAAAATGATAAAGGCAACGAATGTACAAATGTGCTTTACACAATTGCTGTATGTATGGATTGTGATAAGAGTTGTATGAGCCCCCGATAAAATGATTTAAAAAAAACAAAACATTTTTTTTCTACTTGAGCTATTGGTATCAGCTCATTTTTTTTACCCTCTCCCACCCTCTCTCCCTCATTATCCCTTGCTAACTTTTTTCCCCCTGTAATCCTTATGGAAGCATTATATACCAAGTTTTTCCCCCCTAGCACTATAGGTGGGTTGGAATTATGGAATTTGGATCTCAGTTGAGTACTTAAGTGGCCAATCTGTCTTCCAGCCTCAGTAGTCAAAGTGTGCTATTCCTGTGCAGAATTATTCTTTTTTTTTTTTAATGGTATCTCATGGTTGCTCTTTTAAAAAACAAAGCAAAACAACAAAAACAAACGTTGTATTGGGAGCTCTTCAGTAGCATGACATTCCACTGTTCAGTCACACCAAGCAGTATTACACCATTGCCGCCACAGTCAGTTTCAGAACACTCCTTTCTTCTTGAACTTCTGGATATCAATTTCCATTTGGTCCCTCTCCCTGCCCCACCATACCCCCCAGGAACCCTTTTTCTTCTCTTTTTCTGAGTCTTGCACGATCCTATTTATCCGTTCACATGCAATTCTGTTCAGTCTACACAGAATGTTTGTGTTTTCTGCTCTGGTTCTTGTCAAACTGTTAATATGAGGAGGCTTCAAAAAGTTTGTGGGGAAAATTATTCTTTTAATCCATCTCTTCCATGAACTTTTTGAAGCCCCCTTGTAACAATCACAGTTAATTTCACAGCCTCGTATGCTCAGGTTTTCTTTTCTGAAGCACTCAGTCTCTGAGTTGCTTTCCAAACACTAGGGAGTGCCAAGGAAGAATTGCCTTGGTGCCTATAGAGTTCTCCTTCGTTGAGGAGAAAACCAGGGAATGTGACTAAGTTGCTTTTTGTCCACTTTCTTTTTCGTTCTTTGTGTTTTAATGGGGAAAAATTATAATGAAAATATACTAAATGCATTGTGATATCCTAGATTAGGTACTAAAGGGAAAACTTAGGAAAACTGGGCAATTCCAAAATAAGTCTATGGTTTAGTTAATATTCTTGTCCCAGTGTTAATTTCTTCCCTTTTGAGAAATGTACCATGGTTATATAGGATGTGAACATGAGAGAAGGCTGGGTAAATTGTAAGTAGTTTAAAAGTAAGCCTTTTTTAAAAAGATAACTTAAAAACTATGCAGTATGCAAATCTGGAGTGTTTGGCACAGCTCTTTATCAATGCTTCCTTGCATTTTCCTTCAGCCTCATGTGGTTTGTGGTGACCAGCTTGTTCACAGCCCCTACATGCAGTGCCTGGCTTCCCTTGCTGTGGGACTTCATCTGGATCAGCCCTTGTGTAACCCTCCAGTGCCACCACATCATCAGCACTGCCTCCCTGACCCCGCTTCCTGGAATCCAAATGAGTGGGCCTGGTTAGAATGTTTCTCAACCACCATAAAAGCTGCTGAGGCCCTAACCAACGGTGCACAGTTTCCAGAATCTTTTACTGTTCCTGATCTAGAGCCTGTTCCAGAGGATGAGCTCGTTTTCCTAATGGTAAATGTTATAAGAACAGCTGTTGTGTTCATACTGGTGTGGGCTCATTAGTAAACCCTCAATAAATATTTGTGAGCTTAATTTGTTAGAAGCACAACATTTAAACAATTAGAAAATATTTTTGCTCTCAGTTAATCATTTTCAATTTGATAATTGGCCTCTGTTGCCAGGGGTTGATTAGGTGTGACCTAGGTAGCTTTTGTAAAATGTTGTGGTTCTCAGTAACAGGGTCTCATATTTTTCCCCTTTCTGTTCTTCACAGGTGCCTTGTTTAGTGCCTTATTACTGTCTATTTTAGCATCTTTTCCTGGTCACCTTGTGTGAGGCTTACGCCACAGAGATTCTAAATTATTTGGCACATCAATCATGTTTTTGATCAGTACCAAACAAGAATAATATGTATAAAAGAGTATGTCAGTCACCATTCTTCCCATGAGTTTTGAGTGCCTGGCTGTGGAAACTTTTGTAGATGAAATGCTTACCAACACCCATCTCACAGTCCCTCTACCCATATAATTTAGGGGGCTGCAAAGAGGTTGTGGAAAATTCCATTTTCCACAAACTTCATGAAGCTCCCTCTTATATATACTTTTGAATATTTAATTATAAATTCAATATAAAACAAAATACAGATAGGACTTGAAGGAAGGAAATTATCTAAATATAAAATATTTTAATCAGGATGAACCCTTCTGAACCCATTTGGTCCAACTCTGTCATTTTGTAGATGAGGAAACTAAAGTCCATAAAGCTGTGAAGTGACTTCCTCATAGCCTTCCAGTGAGATTATGGGGGCCATGGCTTCCCCTACATGTGCCTCTGCACTTGAGGTTATACAGCATAAATGATTTCATTTCAATCACCAGTTCTATATTGATCATAATAGTGGAAGTTTATAATAAAGGGAAATGTTAACAGTGCAGAAAACCAAGTTTATCTCCACTGTAAAACTGCTCGTACTATCTGGGAATCTTACCAGGCTCTTTGGGGGAAGAAGACTTAGTTGTCAGTTGAGAACAGATAAAATCTTGACTGCAGGACTGACCCTATTGTGTGTCCTCTCACAGGATAACAGTAAATGGATCAATGGCATGGATGAACAGATTATGTCTTGGGCAACTTCAAGACCTGAGGTCAGTAAAGATGAAGAGCATTCTGCGGTGGCTCTCAGTAAATCTTTTGCTTTGATACATGCTGATAGCACATGCTTCTTTGAATGAGGATTTGAAGCTAATAGAGATGACTGTGGTTTTCTAGGACTGGCACCTAGGAGGTAAATGTGATGTCTACCTGTGGGGTGCCGGCAGACATGGGCAGCTGGCAGAAGCTGGAAGGAATGTACTGGTACCTGCAGCAGCTCCCTCGTTCTCACAGGCTCAGCAGGTAACTGGGTAAAGAAAGGGGGAAAAAAACCTTTGAGAACTGGAAATTTTAATTCCCTGACTATCAGTGACTTGCTGTGAGACAAAATGTAGCCATTTCGTAGTCTCTGATGAGGACTCACTGAAGCAAATTCAGGATGGATAGCTTCCAAATACGTTTCATTGGGCTTAAGAAAGGCACACACAAGCTCCTAAATCTAGCTGACTTCAAAGTATATGGATTAATATGAGGCATCAGGCCTGCCCAGCACATACTTCTAGAAGTTTAAGATGGTCATTCAATGATTCTTTTTTTGAAGCCATAAATTTCCCAGGATCTGTAGCCATATACCATTGGCACCAGACTCCCTTCCCAAACACACACATTTGAATTCAAGATGTACTCTTATTTCCAAACGTCTCTTAAAGTTGCTTCTTTGTCTTATCTTTCACAACCTCAGTAAGTACAAGAACACACACATATTTTTTGAGTATGTCCCCTCCAGCTTCTACTTCTTAATGACTTATGTCCCCATCACCTTTTCTCTTCTTTTATCTACTTTGTCATTAATGTTATTTTTTAAACTCCACACAGTTGACTGAAAGAAATCCTTGTATTTAGTATGGTTCTAAATTATCTTAAATGATCAGGTGAGCTTTACATATCTCTTGCTTAAGTAAGCAGTTTTATAATCATTAAGGTCTTATTAAGACCCCATAGGTATTTTAGTCCTCCTTTAGGGAAAGGATAAAGTAGCTAATAAAAATAATCTTAAATATTGCTTGAGTCATTTCACATTTTGGGCTATAAAAGTATATGATAAAACATGATATATCATATTTAATTGTGTGTTTCTATACTAGGTCATATGTGGTCAGAATTGCACCTTTGTCACCCAGGCCAATGGTACAGTTCTGGCTTGTGGGGAAGGAAGTTATGGCAGATTAGGACAAGGAAACTCAGATGATCTTCATGTGCTGACAGTTATTTCAGCCGTACAAGGTAAAGTCTCCAAGTATAAACTCGTTGGGATTAGGCTCTGCCTTCAGGAGTGTTTGCTCCTGTTGGAACGTCTCTCATACCTTTGCTAGATAAAATCAAGATTTTTACTTACATTTGAATCTTCTCATCAATCTAAGCTATGATGTAGTTTAGGCATGTATATAACCTTAATTTTAGTGTTTTTAACTATGTTCCTTTGTAAGGTATTTATCATGGCAATGCTACAATATCATATATAAATAGCTATTTTTGAGATTCCCTGTGTTAGTCCTGGTTGGCTAGAGAAATAAATCCAGAGACACTTATTTATAAGAAAAAGCTTTATATCCAAGAGAACATCCCAGCCCAGTCCATATCAAGGTCATAAGTCCACTGCTAGTCCATAAATTCCTCAGACTCATGCAGCACACGCAGTGATGCAAAATGCGGGAAGATCACAGGCCAGTGGATGCAAAGTCTTGTGGGTCCGGTGGCAGTGGAAGCATCAGAGCTCTCACAGGTCTCAGTGTGGCTCCATGTGGCTTGTCAGTAGGAAGGTGAAAGCAGAAAGATGGGAAGGCCTGCCTCCAGAGAGCCATGTATCTCAGTTGCTCTGCAGTCATGCTGTAACCTGATAGACAGGCTAAAGTCCACCCACATGTTTCTACAGGAGCCATGTTGACACCAAAAATCCTAACTATCACATTCACTGAGATTATAAACACATGCTTCAAAATTGGGGAAACTGTAATTAAGCAACTATTAATGGAAGTAGCATCATACACATGTTTCATTAAAGATAACTTTATACAGAAATATGCAAGCATACTGATGACTTTGGAGGGCATCTCAGTGAAGTGTTCTCTGGGACTTAGAAGGAACAGCTCTAGAGGAACCTCTGCAGGAGCCCCACTTGTTCCTTCGACGAGGACTCCTACTGGCCCTGGAAGAGCAGAGGGTTTTTAAAATGAGGCTACAAGTAACAATGACTCCAGGAAAAATCCTCTTCCTGGAGATAAAGCTGTGAAGAGCACAGGAGTGAGGACGGGGCCCTAGGTTGGGTTCCTATTCACTTCCACTACCACTAGGACCTCACACAAGTTGCCTGATCTTTTTGTGACTCAGTTTCCATGATTGTAAAAGTGAGGATGATAGTAGTATCTACCTGGTGGCTTCTTTGTAAAAATAAAAAATGAGGTGGGCCACGGGAAGTTTTTTATAGGAGTGCCTGGGAGCATATTCTTTGAGGACTTTAACTACCACTATCATCCTCTTAATCTGCTAGTTTATAGCTACACATTTGCTTCAATGTAAAGACCTCTTTCTTTTGTGTTAAGTACTGTACTCTCTAGGAGCTCTGAGGGGGGGTTTTAATAGTCTGTAACCTCTGTTGGTTTTCTGCTCTGTTTCAGGCTTTGTAGTGACCCAGCTGGTGACTTCCTGTGGTTCTGATGGACACTCAATGGCCCTGACTGAGAGCGGGGAGGTCTTTAGCTGGGGAGATGGTGACTATGGAAAACTTGGCCATGGGAACAGTGACAGGCAACGACGACCCAGGCAGATCGAGGCATTACAAGGAGAAGAAGTGGTTCAGGTCAGGCAGGACGTGGAGAAGTTTGCCTTGTAGTATAAATAAGTACCATAGTTATTAAATGCCAAATCCCACTTCATAACATCCCTAGAGGATAGAGTTGGTCTGCCCTGTAGGGTTTCTGAAGCTGTAGGTTTTATGGAAAGAGATTGCATTATCTTCCTCCCACAGAATGGCTGGTGAACTTGACTATCTTCCTTTTAGTTGGCAGGCAGCACTTAGCCTGTTGTACCACCAGGGCTTCTTACCTGTTAGATGGGTTCTTAAATTGAGAAAAGGAAAATAATGAAGTCTATCACAGCCATTGTATAAGAGGAGAATGACTTTTTTGTTCATGGTCATTCTTGAACTTGTCAGAAGTTTGAATAGACTCTAGTGTTAGAATTGACTCTTTTTTCCTCAGCCAGCTGGTTGGCCCAGGCTGGGGTGCTGGAAGAAACACTATGGGGTTTAGTTTCTGACGCCCAGTTCTTGCTACGTGGATCAATAGAAGGCTTTGTTTTCAGTCTATCATTATTTACAAACTGTGCACTCATGGGAATTTTCTAAAAACTAATAGTGATCTAAAATCATATTGTAAAATTGCATAGGGCTTCAGCATTTATATGTTATTTAGTTCCTAACCCATAGTTTGTGTAGTTGGGTCACCTGTACACAGCTGGGCAGTAGCAACAGTTCTTCCAAGATAATGCTGCTTAGACTAGACTTCCTAAGAGAGGGCCACTTGGACAGACACAATATATTGAGTTGTGATTAATGAGTTTATTTTAAGTTTACTATTTATTAACAGCAAGGCGTTCTTTTTACCTTTTTGTTTAAAAAATACACATACAAAAAAACCCTCTCCCTTGTTCTGTCTGTAGATGTCATGTGGCTTCAAGCACTCTGCGGTGGTAACTTCAGATGGCAAACTGTTTACTTTTGGGAATGGTGACTACGGTCGTCTGGGTCTTGGAAACACCTCGAACAAAAAACTTCCAGAGAGGGTGACTGCGTTGGAGGGATACCAGATTGGACAGGCATGGACCAAGTCACTACTGTGCTCTATCTGCCCTTCCTTTCCTCTCTCTCTTTTTCCTTCCTTTCCTATCTCTTGTTTGCACTCAAACACTCTGAGGAAATTGGGACCACCAGTTGTCCTTAATTTTGTGTGAATTTTATGTGAATTACTTGATAGAATTTTCAACAGTTTTTTCTCAATATGACAATTCCTATTTGAAGTCAACTGTCATAAATAAACAAGGGGGGAAATCCCCTTAATTGAGAACATGAATATTTAAAACACTCGCTCCATGATGTGCCAGTGCATTGTGCTGTAAAGCCTGTGAGCGATAGTGACTTTCTGGCTGCTCTGTGGTAGCCCTGAGTCGGATGCTAAATTGCAGTCTCACTGGTAGCTTGAGCTCTGCCGGCTGCCTTGGTTGTCCTTATCCTGCACACATTGAGAGTATGTCTCACATGGATCTATTTCTTTGTATTTTTCTACATCATTTTTTACTTTAGATTGTCTGCTGCTGTGAATGTATAACTTGGATTAGTATATCTTTTGCCCCTACCTTTTGTGCCCTATAACTGTGAGTTAACCACAGGCACTGGGAGGATTTTACTTTGAAGAAAGCAAATTTTTTAAATGTGTAGAAATTAGGAATTAGTTCTATATTTTGACTAATAATGTGTCAACAGCCTTGAAGTCAGTAAAAAAACATTGGCCACCTGGCCACATTTTTCACAAATGTGGAAAAAACCCCTCTCAGAAACTGTGTTTTTAGGGCTTGTGATTTGCTGTGCTGAAACCCCTGTCATTTCTCCAGGTGGCTTGTGGGTTAAACCACACTTTGGCGGTGTCAGCAGACGGCTCTATGGTGTGGGCTTTTGGAGATGGAGACTATGGAAAGCTAGGCTTAGGAAATTCCACGGCAAAATCGTCACCTCAGGTCAGTATTCTCTTTCATCTGTATTTTCAGACTGCTTACATCATTTTGATATATGTCGGTCCGTTTTTTTTCTTTTATTATTATTATTATTATTTTTTTAAATCATTTTATTAGGGGCTCATACAACTCTTATCACAATCCATACATGCATCAGTTGTGTAAAGCACATTTGTACATTCATTGCCCTCATCATTCTCAAAACATTTCCTCTCCACTTAAGCCCCCAGCATTAGGTCCTCATTTTCCCCCTCCCTCCCCGCTCCCCGCTCCCTCGTGAGCCCTTGATAATTTATAAATTATTATTTTGTCATATCTTGCCCTGTCCAACGTCTCCCTTGACCCACTTTTCTGTTGTCCATCCCCCAGGGAGGGAGTCACATATAGTTCCTTATAATCGGTTCCCTCTTTCCAACCCACTCTCCCTCTACCCTCCCTGTATTGCCACTCACACCACTGTTCCTGAAGGGGTCATCCGCCCTGGATTCCCTGTCTTTCCAGTTCCTATCTGTACCAGTGTACATCCTCTGGTCTAGCCAGACTTGCAAGGTAGAATTCGTATCATGATAGTGGGGGTGGGGAGGAAGCATTTAGGAACTCGAGGAAAGTTGTGTTTTTTTATCATTGCTACATCACACCCTGACTGGCTCATCTCCTCCCTGAGGCCCCTCTGCAAGGGGATGTCCAGTGGCCTACTAATGGGCTTTGGGTCTCCACTGCGCGCTCCCCCCATCATTCACTATGATAAGATTTTTTTGTTCTGATGATGCCTTACACCTGATCCCTTCAACACCTGGTGATCGCATAGGCTGGTGTGATTCTTCCATGTGGGCTTTGTTGCTTCTGAGTTTGATGGCAGCTTGATTACCTTCAAGCCTTTAAGACCTCAGATGCTTTATCTTTTGATAGCCGGGCACCATCTGCTTTCTTCACTACATTTGCTCACGCACCCATTTGTCTTCAGTGATCGTGTCGTAAAGGTGATCATCATGCAATGCCAGGTTAATAGAACAAAGTTCTTGTGTTGAGGGAGTACTGGAGTGGAGGCCCAATGTCCATCTGCTACCTTAATATTAAACCTATAAATATATGCACATAGATCTATTTCCCCATCATCATGTATAAATATATTTACATATGTACATGTCTGTATTTAAACCTCTGTAAATGCCATTTGCCTCCTAGTTCTTTCCTCTATTTCCTTTTACTTTCCTCTTGTCCCACTGTCATGCTCAGTCTTCATTTGGGTTTCAGTAATTCCTCTCGGTTACATTGCCCTAGATCAAGCCCTACCAGGCATCCTACACCCTCCTCGCCATCCATTTTAGATCACTAGTTCCTGGGTTTGTTAACACCCACTTCCTTTCCCCAGCCTCCCCTGCGGGCCCCCACTCCCCCCAGCCATCGGTCCTGTTGTTTTCTCCTCCAGATCGTTTATTCCGCCTATCTTATCTAGATAGACCAGCAGAGATAATAGTATGCACAAAAAACAATGCAGAGCAAAATAAAGTAACAAAACAACAACAACAAAAAGAAAAGCCTGTAAATAGTTAAGGTCTGTTGGTTGACCTTTAGGAGTGTTCTCCAGTCAAATCTGGTGGGGTGCCACGCCCTGGCCCCAAAGTTGTATTTTTGGTATTTGTTGGGGACTTCGCTGCTCTGCTCTCCTTGCTGTTCCGTTGCACACCCTTAGTGTGTCTCCTCAGTGTGGTGGGGTCAGATCAGGCACAGTTCCCGCACTGTGTCTCCAGTGTTGTCCCCTGTAGGGCCGTGGGTCAGTGAGGGACGTCGTGTCTCATAATGGGGCCAGCCATTTGGTCCTCTCAGTGTATTGGCTGCTCTGGGCAGGAATATTGTCCTCAGGGCCTGGTGGGTCAGGATGTGCTCCACTCTCTTCCTCCCCTTTCATTTGCTCCTGTGTGCTTTGATCAGACATGTCCCTCTCCTTGAGTTGTAGCTTTAGTGCTGTCCTCTGAAGTGAATTCTTCTGCTGGGAGGCGGGCTGTCCGTGTAGTTGGGATTGGAGCTGGCCCCTCAGACCTCTCTATTGGTTCTCTCATATCAAATTTCACCATAGAAATGGTTGTATTATATGGAACTCATCATGGAGGTGATAATGTCTATTACATAATGGAAGAGCAATCAATCCAGTGCCAAACCAGTGAGAATCATAGCCAAGTTGATAACATTAAAATTCACCCCTCTAAAAGATAAAAACATCAAACTGAAAGACAAGCTCATGACTTTTTCATGATCTTGCAGTGTTCTTTAAAAAGCCAGGGGCTCCCACCATGAGGCCTAGAAGTTCAGGTAGTGGGCTGAGCGGCAGCAGCCAGGCAACCCAGCTTCGAGAAAACTTTTGATCCCCTAGTGTCCACAGGTATCTGGCAGGTACCCTCCCCACAGCCACGATGTCCAAAAGGAATGTCAGCTCTGCCGAAGAGGTGGTGAGGGAGCCCAAGAGGTTGTCAGTGAGACCTGAAACCTGCCAAAGTGGCGTCATAAACCCAAAAAAGCATCCAGGAAAGATAAATCTTCAGACAAAAAAGTGTGAGCAAAGGAGAAAGGGGCAACAAAGGTAAACAGCTGAAATAGCTAAGTAAGAAACTAAAGGTTTATCTGCCGAAAATGGAGCCATGAACAATGAGGAGAGTTCGTACTCTGATGAAGCAGGTGATAAAGAAGCCAAATCTGATTAATGCTTATCTGCCTTATCAGTGGGCCCTGTTATCTTCCTTCCTGTGCAACAAAGAGGAATATTGTATCAACTATTAGTAGCTCTAGGAACACTTTCAGATAGCGACTCAGAGACTAAAGGACAAGGTAGAACTGCTCCTATGAATTTCCAAGACTGTGACTGTTCACTGGAGTAGCAAGCCCTGTCCTCTGCAGAGTGGGTGGTGGTTTCAAACTGTGGACCCTGGTTATCATCGCCAACGTGTAACCACTAAGCCACCAGGACTACCATTAGAAACACTTTCAAAGAGGAGAAAATCCCACTTCATCCCACCACCACCCCCTTTTTAATGTAAATGCTGTTTTAAAGAAATAAGGTCATTTACTCAGTTTATTTTTTTGATACAACCAGAAAATAGTGGGATATTGAATTGTGGGAAGATTTGACCATCTTGGGTGTCAACTTAACATTCCATGGGGTTAGGGGTGGGGGGTGGGGTTGTATACCTAATACAGAAGCTACTTAATGGCAGTTTGGAGTCGCTGTCATGCATTTGTATGACTTGAACATTTATAATTTTGTTTCTATGTTTTAAAAAAAAATTTATCAATTGGCATTAATGCATATATCAAATCTTTCCATAGTTTAATCACATCCAGCAGAATTATACATTTACTCCCATAATCAGTTTCCAAACATTCTTTATCTATATAGTCCCTTGACATCATCACCCTTCACCCTGCCACCTCCTTTTGTGCCCCCCTCCCCTCAGAATCCTTATTCCACTTGTTGACGCTATAGGTTGTTTTTAAAATAGAATTGTGTTCAAAACCCATCTGTCATCATGGCTTTCTGGTCAGCACTGTGTGCGTTCTGTAACACCTTTGGTTGTGATAGTCCGGTTTTCCTGGTAACTCGGTGTGTGGTTTGTGATATTAAATTGTGAATTAGTGGGACTTAAGATGTAACAGCTTATCAACATTTGAAGATAAGGGTACTTTATAACCTCTTTTTAAAAAACATGCCTCCAGATTTAAAGCTGGAAAATCACTGGAATTTAGAAACAAATTGTATCTACATGCCATTTAAGGATTTTTGGTATGCTCGTTAAGAATTGTATACAAGTTGTTCATAATGTCTCTGTACTGATCTCAAAGCAACCAGTAAAATGTCAAAATTACAAAATTAATTAAAAGCCAGGGAATTCTGTTTGATTTCTGATGCCCAGAGGAATACCTTCACTTCACCTTCGGTTCTTAGAAATTCAGTCAAACTACCCAACTCCCCACGTGAACCTCCCCAGATTCAGGTACTTTTTAGAGCAATAGGAGAAAAGAACGTTTAGTAGTATGACTAGGTGGAAACATGTAGGTGACTGAATATTTTTATTCAAAAGTAGTCTTTTAAGTTTACATGTGGCAGTTTAGCTTAAATCGGCTAAATCGGGGTGTGTGTGCGTGTTTCTCCTGAATGTGTGCCTTTGTGCTCCGTTTTGCAGAAAGTCGATGTCCTTTGTGGAATGGGCATTAAAAAGGTGGCTTGTGGAACTCAGTTTTCTGTTGCTCTGACCAAGGATGGTCATGTATATACCTTTGGTCAAGGTAAGGCATTTTTCAACTCACATTACTTATTTTGTATATACAAATAAGTCAAAAATATTGCTATGAAATTATAGAAACCCTTGTTAAATAAAAATCACCGTTTGAAGCTATTGTTTCTCAACCTATCTACCGCCTAGGTCTATACACTACTTAAAGCAGTGTTTCTCTCTCTGCAACCCTGCTTTGAAGAATTCTGCCCTCTTCGATTTATAGCATGTCAAAGCAGCAGTACTGGCCTCCGCCAGGGCCTCGATGGTGTTCCTTTGAAGTGTTGGGTGTGGGAACAAAAAGAAGCCTGGAGGGCAAACCAGATTGGTCGGATGGATGATGTCAAGTTTCTCAGTGAAATTCTCATAGGCCAGCCTTTGCTACCCTGGACGCATGAGTGGATGCAATATCATGATGGAAGAAAATGACCCAGCATAACTGCTGTATTTTCTCAACAATACCGTTTTCCTTTTCTTAAAACGTCTCCCTGCTGAGCACCTGTGATTGATTATCTGTGTTCTTCAAGCAGCCCTGTTAGGGGTGACTCCTTTGGAACCCTAAAAATGGTCGACGCTGCTTTCTGAGCTGACCTCTCTGCCTCGAGTTTAACGAGCCCAGCAGTCCCTTTGGAAACAGTTATGAGTGGACATTTTGGAAGCATTTTAACCAAACTTAGACAAATGTTTTACTGAGAGAACGTGTCACAACCATCCGCTGATTGCAGAGACAGGCTTAAAACATGTTTTACTTGGAGTAAACCCATGCATGTATGACGTGAAATCCTAGCATGTAACAATACTTCGTACATATTCCTCTTACACATAGTGGAAACATTTGCCTTCTAGTTGTATTAAAAAGTGCTCTAAGTGTTTTGTGTTGAATGATGAGCAGTCACTATGATCCATATTCACTAGCTGTTTTTCTTCCTCTTTCCTTGACTTAAAAAATATTCATTTACATTTATTCACTTTATAACTTGTATTGTTAACTGGGTAAAGATTTACAGAACAAACCAGTTTTCCATTTAACAATTTTATTTCATGCCATTGACTGCAATCCCCACAGTGTGACATCACTTACCCCACTTCCTCCCTGTGTGTCCTGTTTCCATACCTCTTCCTTTTCTGACCCTTCTGAACTTTGTTGTGGGTACGTCTGCCATTTCAGTCTCAAGTGCTTGATTATTCTAAGGATTGTGTACCTATCTAGGAGCCCTGGTGGTGTAGTGGTTATGCATTGGGCTGCAGTCTGCATGGTTGGCAGTTCAAAACCACCAGCAACTACTAGGGAGAAAGCCTGGGCTTTCTACTGCTGTAAGCAGAAGACAGTCTTGGAAACTCATCAGGGGTCGCTATGAGTCAGCATTGACTCGATGGCAGTGAATTTGGTTTGGGGTAGACCTAACTATATTATTTAACCAAATATTGAGCCATGGGGGCAAGTTCTGTTCCAGACCTGATGGGTGCCTAAGGGCCATAGTCAGGAGGGTTTCACCAGTTTCTACCTAGCCAGTCAGCCTGGTCTTTTCATGGGTTTCTTTTAAAGACAGACTCCCCACTTCTCCCCTCCTCCATGCATAGCCCATCATGCCATAGCCTTCACCCGTGCCAAAAGAGTTCCACCGGAGGCCCTTCCCCTGGTTTTCCTGCTGCCGCCGCCACCATAAACAGCACTTGCTGCCTTTTGTGTGGCCTCACTCCCTAGCCCTTTCAGGAACTAGGGGCTCAAGATTTGGAGCAATTTACAGACATTTAGGATTCAAATACTGAATAGGAGATTTCTAGGCAATAGCAGATGATAGCGACAGGCGTGTGAGGGAGAAGAGGGAGAAATAAAGCATGACTGAAGTTTCTGGTCCTGGAAAAGCGTTAATGCCACTGACTGAGTTTGAGCGAGTTAGTTTGAGGGAAGAAAATAAAGACTTTAGTTTTACTCATGTTGAATTGGGGCACTTAGCCCCCATGCTGTCTCTCTCTCTCTCGTGTGTGTGTGTGTGTGTGTGTGTGTGTGTGTGTGTGTGTGTGTGTGTGTTGAGATGCTCAACAGGCTCTTGGGAACTTAGATCTATTGTTCCAGAGAGATTGGCAATAGAAATGTAGATTTAGGGCAATAACTGCATAATGATAGTAATTCAAAGCATATTCTACTCATTATCTGGGAAACCCAGAGCAGAGCGTATAGGAGATGCTAGAACTTAGGAGAGTGAGTATAGGCAGATAAGCACAGGCAGAGGACTGGGAGAGGTGGCCTTGAAGGAGGTGACCAGGAAGTCTGTGCACCAGGACTGAGGGGGGCGTATTGTGAGGGTGAGGTTGCAAAAAACGGGGGAGCCTTTGTGAACTGTGTGTCATTCTGCCAGTATGAGGAACTTGGAGGTGCTGGTTGGTTTGAAATAAGCTGCTGGTTTTATGTTTATTTTTATGAATAAGACATAACATTTTGCAAATTGTTTATTCATTCAAAACCCAGAATTACAGTAGCTTTTGCCCCACTGAATTATAGATGCTATTGCCACCCCACCATAAAACGTTAAAGATCTCATTAGGAAGCCTGACAGGACTGTGGTGTGCTGTTGTAACACTTCCTCTCTGTCTTTTCAGATCGCTTAATAGGCCTCCCAGAGGGGCGTGCTCGCAATCACAATCGACCCCAGCAGATCCCCGCCCTGGCTGGAGTGGTTATAGAAGACGTGGCAGTTGGCGCTGAGCACACACTAGCTTTGGCATCTACAGGGGATGTCTACGCCTGGGGCAGCAATTCAGAGGGGCAAGTAAGCATGGCACCGACATACTGCTCTCTCATATTTCAGAAACCAAACAGCGTTCCTCAGTTGAGAAGGAAATTAATTGGGAGGCTCACAGGGCCAGCCAGACTGTACCAGATGCATCTCGGCAGCAGGAGGAGGGAAGAGGATAGCTTAGCCTGACACATAGTCGGAAGCATTAGATAAGTGTTCGTGCCAGGCACCAGTGTCACCATTAGTACTACAACAGTGTCTCTGTACTCCAGAGAGCAAGAGTCAGTTTTAGGGTTCTGGCTTGAGCAGTTAGGTGACTGACGGTGCAGTGTACAGTGATGGGGAGGACTGCGAGAGCAACTGGGTGGGTGGTTGTTTTTTTAGTTTGGTGAAGGGTAGTTTAGAAAATCTAGAGTTGTGAAGAGGCTTCAAAAAGCTCCTGAAAAAATAGTATTATCTTTTCATTGATCATTTCCACGAATTTTTTAAAACCCCCCCCCCTTTTTTTTTTGAACCCCCCTTATATGTGGTATTGAAAACTGTGGTGTCAATGAGATCCCCTAAAGAGAGGGTCTGGGTAGAGGATCCAGAGCTGAGGCCTGGAGATACGCTGTCCTGTAACAGTTGGTCATCAGCGGCCAGGGAGGAAAGTACACTCCACAAGAGTAAAGTGCTTTGAGCAGGAAGGACTGAAATGGCTAAGGACACAAACAGGTGTTCAGGGTCATTAGCCATTAGGGAGATTCAGATCAGAACCACAGCGAGATGCCATGTCAGGCTGATTAGAATGGCAGTGGTACAATAGAACACAAAACCAGAAAACTACAGATATTGGGAGGTTGTGGAACAATGAAACCGTTACCCGTTGCTGTGAGAAGAGAACAGCATGGCAGTTCCTTAAAAAGTTGAGCATAGGCACTACCGTACGTTCCAATAACCCCCATTCTCGGTATGTACCCAAACCCTGGTGGCACAGTGGAATATGAGTTGGAAGCCCCAGGCACTCAGAGAGGAAGGTGAGACTTTACTTTCCTAACAAGGTTCGGTCTCAGAAACCCACAGAGGCAGTTCTACTCTGTTCTGTAGGGTTGCTGTGAATCGAAATCGACTCCCTGGCAGTGAATGGATGAGTGAAAGGAAGACTGCAAACCGATCACTACAGCACTTGCCACAGTAGTCCAAGGGTAAAAACAACTGACATGGGACTAAGAAAACCTGGCACATACATACAAAAAAATATTCCTCAGCCACAAAGAGAAGTGATGATTTGACACATGCCACAGCATGGGTGAACTTTGAAAACATTATACTAAATGAAGTAAGTCTGTTGTAAAAAGACAAGTAAATGCTCAGACTTCCATGAAATGAGTAAACATAGAACTAATGCTTATTGGTGGTTACTCGGGACGAGAGAATTTTTGCTTTGGAGCAGTAAGTTTATGTTAATGGTGGTGGAAAAATTTGGAAAGGGCTAGTAAGAATGGTTGAAGAATGTAATCAATGTCACTGAATTACATATATAGAAAAATTTTTTAGGTAATGAATTTGTTGATAGGTATTTTTTTGTTGGCATTTTTCTAAGTATTTTTGTGTTTGGTAGGAAATTCATCACCCCCATTATTCCCAGGAGTAAACTGTGAAAGGTTGAGAAAAGGCTCGGGAAGTTGAAGTGTCCTGCCTCCTCTGTAGATGAAGGAGTGAAGGCCTGGGTGCTCAGAGAGCTGAGATGACTGCTCTCCAGTGTAGCCTTTAGCCCCACGTGCTGGGACACCTCTCCTTCCTCTGTCCGTCCTCTCTGAGCCTGGCCTATCCCGTGCAAGATCCAGTAGCACTCACAGTCGCCTCAGTTTGTCTTCTTGTCTGTTCATTACTGCTCAGCACATGGGAAGCCTCATCACTGGTTGAATGTTGCCTTACTGAAAGAGAGTTGGTGTTGAAGATACTTTTAGGCGTTCCATGGCCTGGCCTTGGCATAGTCCACCCTCAAAGTGTTGAGGCGCTTAACTGCTCTAGCACTGGATGTCCCGGTATAGCCCTAACAACGGACTCAAGAAACCGGAATCTACATATGTGTCCGTTTACAGATGGATTGATTGATTGGTCATCACACATTATGCTGGGCCATATTAATCTGTGTTAAAAATCAAGAACTCGATATATTTGAAGTAAAAGATCATTGGGTTATTTTTTTTTTTTAACTTGTTAAAAATGTACTTCTTCTCCAGCATGGAATACCAGGGTGTATTCAGTCATTAAGACTCATCTGCTAGATTTGGAATGGTCTAGTTACAGCCTGGTTTTTAGGAGACAGTCTGAATGAATGGCAGAGGCTATTCGAATAGAGAAAATTAGAACTTCTTTCATTATTTTGATGATGTTGCTTTGATACAAATATCATTAACTCATTTATATTTACTGCCATCTAAGACACTTCATCATCTCCGCTTCTTTCTCTTCTTCTTTCTAATTGAATCTCTTTGTGTATTTGTTTGTAATTGATTCCCAGCTTGGCCTAGGCCACACCAACCATGTCCGAGAACCTACCCTGGTGACAGTTCTGCAAGGGAAAAACGTTCGGCAGATCTCAGCTGGCCGCTGCCACAGTGCTGCCTGGACAGCACCCCCTGTCCCACCAAGAGCCCCAGGTGAGGGATGAAATGCCCAGGCTCCTTCAGCCCCAATTTTAGTAGTATACAGCTGCACGGTCTGCTTGCCAGGTTCACACTGCAGCTAAGCACCGTTCTGAAGCTGTCAAACCCTCGCCCACACAGCCAGAGCATTCTGTGTGCAACCAGCACTGTCAGTTCTTTCGCAGCAGGCAGTCTCCTGCTGACTCCCTGCAGAGCAATCCCCTCTGCTGCCCTGCCTAAGAAGAAAGCATCACAGTGGCAAGCAAAACTGCATAACTTCACAGCAGCAACTGGAAGCAGGATCTATAAAACAAGTGAAGATCCGTCCACTGGGAGCAACAAATATTCAAAGTTCCGGGGCCATTTGTCCAATTCCTTAGCTCAGTTAACCAAATGGAAACATGGGGTTCTCTTTGCCTGGACACTGCAAATAAAAGTGCTGCCATTTTCCTTCAGTCTGTAGCAGGGTCCGTGGCTATCTCTAGCCTTTTGTTGCTTTCTTTTTATTGCACAATCCGTATAGAGCTACAAGAAGGTAACAAGTATAATGCATGTCTGTGTGCCTATAACCACGTCTTTCCTCCCACAAACCCTCTTCTTCAGTCCCACAGAGACAGAAACGGTGTCACTAGCAGCCAGGGCTGCAGGAAGGAGATGTAGGGAGACGCTGGAAAGTAGAGACTGATGGGTGTAGAGTTCAGTGGGTATATTAAAAATAACCCTAAATATACTAAAAACAATTTTGCCCTCCAACAGTACAAATTTCATAGTATGTGAATTGTAATTCCATTTTAATAACACTTATTAAAAACAACAGTAGCTAAACATCTGTCTCTTCCTTGCTCACTAACACTCGGCCACAGGAATTCAAGTTTAAGAGTAATGAATAGGAGTGGAGAAAGGGAGGTGGGGCTATGTATAAAGAAGCTGATGTCTGATTGATGTAGACCAAAAATTTCACCCTACGTGTAGCATTTATCATTCTTAAGGCCTCCACGTTTTTTGCTACTCCTTCTTCCCTTAAGCTAAGGTGAACAGACGTCCCACTTTTGGCGGCACAGTCCCGATTTTTAACAATTTTTCCCACGTCCCGTGGCGTTTTTAAAAAGTCCCGGTTTTTGGAAAGAATGCATGACAAGCTAGGGTATACGGTTTTCGGCTGCCATGTCGCTATTTTGCCAGGATATGAGTTTTATCAATGGTGTCCCGCTTACCAATGTTAAAATCTGGTCACCTTACCTTAAGTCCTTTTCTTTCTACCATCCTCTGGTGTCTAAGTCAGACACCAGAGCTCTCAGCATTCTCAGCCTTGTTTGTTAACCATTCCACTCCTTACAGCTTTAGCTTCTTGGGGAAGGTCCGCATCCCATCGAGGTTTCCTTTGTTGTAATCACCCTAAAGGAAAGTGGGATTGCTAAGCAGACTCTAATCAAGCATGAGTGGTTGCTAGTATGTAGAGTCCAGAATAAACAGCACTGCCTCCACCTTTGCAATTTCAAGTGTTTGGTCCTGCAGAGGGATGTACTTCTACCGCAGCAGAGGCTGGGCAATGTGGGGGTTGAAGGGTCAGCTTCTGAGCCCCATTGTCCAGGTTGAATCCTGGTTGCTCTAATTGTGACCTTTAGATGGTTTCCTTTTCTGTAAAATTAGGGGAATAGTGGCGTCTATATCCATGAAGAATTATAGCAGTAAATTAGCCAGTGTGTATAAAGCTCTCAGAATAGTGCTAGACACATATAAAGCACTCAATGTTAAACCCCCACCCCCAGTGTTAGCTTTTATTAATAGTTACTCTGGGAATTGAGCTATATAAATCTATATATACAGGAAATTCAAGTAAGTTATCTTACACTTATGCCACCTTTATGTATTTTTATAAGCAGTTCTTACAGTTCTTGCAGTCTCTGCTTCTACAGGGCTCTTACTCAGCAGGAGTCTCACCCCTTCATGAATCACGTACTCATCTCTCTCATTCCAGCCTGGCTGCTATTTGTCATACTAATGAGCCAGCAGCTGACTAGGAATAGACCCGTGGTTCTCAACCTTCCTAAGCTGCGACCCTCATGTTGTGGTGACCGCCAACCATAAAATTATTTTCATTGCTACTTCATAACTGTAATCTTGCAACTGTTATGAATCGTAATGTAAATATCTGATATAGAAGATGTATTTTCATTGTTACAAATTGAACATAATTAAAGCGTAGTGATTAATCAGAAAAACAATTATGTAATTCTATATTGTGAAATATTTATTTCTAATGACAAATAAATGACATTTTGTCTTGAAGCATGGTGTAGCATGGGTAACAGTCTTCATGCCGGGAACTCATATGTGGGCGTATCTGCATGTGGCCTGACCCCCCTGGAGACGGATAGCGGAGCGGTCTATCCTAAGACCATCGGAAATATGTGTTTTCTGACAGTCTTAGGTATGACCCCTGTGAAAGGGTCGTTTGGCCCCCAAAGGGGTCACAACCCACAGGTTGAGAACTGCTGGAACAGGCCATCAATTACTCATATGTAAGTTTTGGTTGAAGTTGAAGAAAATTAAAACAAAACATGCCCTTGAGCCAAAACACGACCTTCAGTATAGCCTACCTGAATTTCAAAACGTCTCAGGAATAGATTTGAATCACTGAACATTAATAGCAGAACACCTAACGTGCTAGGGGATGTCATCAAGACTATCATACGCGAATAAAACAAAGGCCGTTGAAAAGACACAAAGAGAGGAAAGATGAAAGTGGATGTCAGAAGAGTTTCTGAAACTTGCTCTCAATTGTAGAGCAGCTAAAACAAATGGAAGAAATGAGTAAGAAGCCAAACTGAAAATTTCAAAGGGAAGCCGAAGACAAAGTATTAAAATGAAATGTGCAAAGACCATTAGTTAGAAAACTGAAAAGGAAGAACATGCTCAGCATATGATGGGGTGCGCAAACAAAACAAAACGGAATTGGACTGGGCAGAGCAGAGCTTTCATAGTATGCATTTTTCCCACTAGGCGAGCATCAAGCAATTTGCTCTGAGTTAGCGCACCCGGTGGCATCGCCTGGGAAGGTTCTCTCTGGTCACAGTGAATTTTTTTGTAAAAGCAGTTTCACTCGAATCTCGTTTTTTTGTGATGTATGTCTGATTTAAATGAATAGTGTGCAGCTGTGAAGATTTGTTTCCTGCTCAGAAAAAATGCCCCAGAAACTGTTGTGATGTTCAACACATCTTAGAAGGACAGCTGCACGATAAAAGCACAAGTGTATGTGTGGTTTCCTCGTTTCAAAAAAGGTGAAATGTCAATTGATGACAAAATTCATTCTGGACATCCGTCAACTTTTTGAACGGATGAAAATGTTGACTCAGTGCATTTGGAGTTCTTTCCCTCGGGTCAGATTGTTAATCAAGCTTTCTATTTAGAGATTCTGAAAAGATTGGTAATAGTGTGTGAAAAAAGAGTACAAAGGCCTGATTTGTGGCAGATGGGGGTCTGGTTTCGCCATGGAGTCCCTGTGAGTTGGAACCAACCTGACAGCCCCTCACAATGACATGGAGTATCACGATACCTCAGCTGTGCTGGCCACCTTCATTTCTTAAGTACCTGGTCCACACCTGTGTTGTTACAACTGAAAGGAAGAATTTCCCCTCTTTGGAGTTGGGTGAGGGTGGTGTGTTACAGAGGAGCTGCTCTTCAAGTTCCATTGGAATGGGAAACTATTTTGATAAATAAAGGTATTTTTTAAGCCGAACAGATCCATTTGTGAAAACAAAGATAAGTTGATGTGATAGAGCAATTGATAGGTATATGATAAAGCAAAAACAGCAAGATGTTCATTGTTGCCTCTAGACAGTGAGAATGAATGTTCATTGTTCAGTTCTTCTAATGCCTTTGTTTGTTTGAAATTTCTCAAAATACTGTAAACAATAGCCTTGCCCATTTGCTTTACAAATGTTCATTTGCTTTCCGGGCCAGGTGTGTCTGTGCCTTTGCAGCTGGGCCTGCCCGATGCGGTCCCCCCGCAGTATGGGGCACTGAGGGAGGTGAGCATCCACACCGTGAGGGCCAGGCTCCGACTGCTCTACCACTTCTCTGACCTCATGTACTCTTCCTGGAGGCTGCTGAACCTCAGCCCGAACAACCAGGTAACAACCGGCAGCACCTTCCCTGTCGGGGCTTTCCTTCAGCCTTGGGAAACCCTTCCATTCCTAGCACCTCCGTGCCCCGTCGAGGCAGAAAAGGCAGCACTTCTGTCCCCTTGGACAGTCCAGGTATTGGTGATTATACTTCCGGATGCTCAGTGGTCTGTCTTCATGAACTCTTCTCTGTTTTGGTGTGTCCAAAGCTCAAGAACATAAAACCGACTAACCATCCATAGGGGAAGCGGGGAGGGAGGGGAAAATGAGCTGATACCAAGGGTTTAAGTGGAGAGAAAATATTTTTAGAATGATGAGGACAACGAATGTACAAATGTGCTTGACACAATTGATGTATGTGTGGATTGTGATAAGAGTTGTATGAGCCCGCAATAAAATGATTTTAAGAAACAATACTAATCCATAATTTTAAAACTTCAGCTTCTTGTCTGTTAACACCATAGTCCGTCAAGGTGGTTATTATATACTGAACTTGGAATGTTTAGTGGGTCTCCTTTTTAAAAAAAAATTTTTGTAGGGGTGGTGGATGGGGGTCTCCCTATACATAAGCCTTAGGGGTTCCTTGGGGGAGAGAGGGTAAATTTGGCTGTCTTTATGGAACAGTCTGGTGATTTAGGAAGAAATTAAGATGATTATTCTTTTAATATGTAGGCATACCTGCCAAAATGTGTATCACTTAGACAACTATTTTTGCCAAATTCTCTAGGAAACCAGTCCTGGGGCACATGAAAGATTTAACAGATCACTGTTAGAAACAGATACTTAGCTAGGCACGCAATACCATGCATCCCTGAACAATGTTAGCCAACTTTTTAATTAGTTGGAAAAATGCCTGTGATGTAAAGTTATGGGGAAGAAACTGAAAATTGCATTCAAAATATATCAACAATGTAAAAACTGCTTCACTGAATTTGCAATAAAAAGTTAAGACTTATTTATCTGTTTTCTATTATGGTGGTAACTTTAATTAGAATAAAGCCTTTAGATGACAAGCTTATAATTAATATTTTTTTTTGTTTTTATTTTCTTAAAAATAGTTATATTACCATCTACTCCACATATTATATAATTTAATCCTTCATATTAAGAAAAGTTATATAATTATCAGCACAATCAATTTCAGAACATTTTCTTGCTCATTGTTTTGTTTTTAGCTCAAGATCTATTTTTAAAGTCGTGTGGAAAATGTTTGTATACACAGAGATGAAAACTAGAAGGCATTTAGAGCAGAGTGTTAATAGGACCATTTCTCTATAACAGGATGAGGAAAGGTTTTATTTGGGGCTGTATGTTATTTTCTGTATTTTAAAGTTATTTTTATAATGATTATATTATTTTTCATTTAGAATTATTTTTTAAATTTTATTAAATGACATTTTCATTAATTAAAATTTTGATTAATGTATTTTAATTACTAAGTTATTTTAAGATCTATTAAATGTGTATATTAAAATTTTTTTTACTTCATTTTGATGATTTTCCATTTACTATTTGACATGTCTTTCTATATGCTATGCATGAATAAAACAACTGAGCAAACAAATTTAGGTGGTTGACGTTATGCAGTATGAATTCATACTTTTTTTCACACGTAAATATTTACCTGTTCAAAATCTGAACTCATGAGTATTTTGACAAACAATACAATATGCTGACTCAATCAGAAAAAGAAACAAACAAAAAATATCCGTTGGTGTTGGTGATTCAGAAAAGACAAAATTGGTTACAGGATTGACTCTAAATAAAAGCAGATACCCTGTAGCTATCTGGGCATAGTTACAATTAAAGTACTATATTCCCTTAATGCTCAATTAAAAATAAAACATAAAGCAAGAGGATGATAAGTGTATGCTTCTAAGAGAATGTGTACATTAAAATTTTAAAGTGCTATGTAAACGTTAATATTGCTTTGGGGGGGGGTCCATTTTAAGAAGGGCTTATTTTCTACAATTAGGATATGTCATTTCTTCTCCTTTCTGATGGCCCTGTGTTCTGTTCCAGAGCAGTACCTCTCACTACAGTGCTGGAGCCTGGGGCATTGTGCAGGGGCAGCTTCGGCCTTTGTTGGCCCCAAGGGTCTACACCCTTCCGATGGTGCGCTCCATAGGAAAAACCATGGTGCAGGGCAAAAACTACGGACCTCAGATTACCGTAAAGAGAATATCAACCAGGTTAGTTAGACTTTTTTAAGTGAACACTATTACTAACACATTGCTATTATTTTAGCTTCCTCATTTCTAAAGCGGGGGAGATAGTAATAGCACTTCCATGGCCGCATGTGGGTATACGAGGAGGCCAGTTGTGAACCTGGACTGTTCATTCACTGATGGGAAGAAGATATCGGGTCATGTTTGTGGTGATTGGGGAATTTAATGGGAGTTGTACTTCATTCCCTTCTCCCTTTCCTTTACAGAGGCCGGAAATGTAAGCCCATCTTTGTCCAGATAGCAAGGCAAGTAGTTAAGCTGAATGCATCGGACCTCCGGCTGCCTTCCCGAGCCTGGAAAGTCAAACTGGTTGGCGAAGGTGCTGATGACGCTGGAGGAGTATTTGATGACACAATCACAGAGATGTGTCAGGTACTCATTCCATTCCCTGCAGTGTCTGCTGAGGCATTGCTTGGACCGGGCTCTTTTGGCTGTTTCCAGTAATGATGGTGTTGTGTGCCCTCGTGAATGTAACGAGGGTTTGTGAGCCTTTCACACAGCATCCCTCACAGAGTCATGCTGTTAGTGCATGTGGAGATGAGTTGTATGGGGGTTAGTGACATGCTTGCAAATGCCACTTAGTGAATGTCTGTTGTGCCGTGACACTGGCATCTGCACGTGGGATCGCCCTAGTGCCTGAGTTTACTCAGGGGGTTTTTGGAACAGAGTTGGACTGTCAATCTGGGGGGGAGGGACTGGGAAACAATGGTCCAAGGATTCAAACTCATTGTAATCTTAAGACCCTTAATGGTACCTTTGCTTCCAAAGCAGCTCTATTATCTGCCTCTTAAACAGTATTGGGTATTATTTATTGAGTCCATTGAGATATCACTAAATACTCTCGCAGATACCCCAATTCCTATACTAGATTGACTTTCTCATCATGATTCTTCATATTACAAGATATTTCCATATAGAAAATTTACTAATTTTAGTTTAAATTCAAACTATTAAAATATGGAGATAGCTAACACGTAACATTAAAATATCTCAAAACAGTGTTTTCAGTATGGCTTTTAATAAACTTCATTCATTGATGATCTTTTATCCAAACAAGGTTTTTCTTTCTTCTACAGGAACTTGAAACTGGTATAGTTGACCTTCTCATACCCTCTCCCAATGCCACCGCAGAGGTGGGTTACAATAGGGACAGGTAAGGCAATCAACAAGTGTTTACTGAATGCTACAATACTAAGAATAAACAAAACCAAGCTCCCTGCTATCAAGTTGGTGCTGTATCCTAGCACCCTTACAGTGCAGGGTGGGACTACTCATGTGAGGTTCCCGAGACTCACTCTTGAAGGAGTAGAAAGTCTGTCTTTCTCTCTGGTGGTTTCGAATTGCAGACCATGCAGATTTCAGCCCATCGTGTAACCCCTGCACTGCATGGCTCCCACAATAATAACAGTAGCTCACACTAATTGAACATTTAGTGTGTACCGGGCACTGTGTTTATGCCACAGAATCCTCATTTGTAAATCTGTGTGGTAGATACTATCATCATCCCCTTACTATTGATTTGGGGTGGGAGGGGAGGGGCAGCGCATAGCCCAAGGGGGCACTTCCACTATAAAGTGGTATTTATCATGGGTCTACCCCATAGTAATAAAGAGAATTTGAGGACACTCAGACTTGATCATGAATCCTGTCTTCTTTTGTATTTCTGAAGCACCACACAACCTTTTCTTCAAGGAATCTTTGTATCACAGTTCATTAAAAGTTGTGCCATCAAGTCATAGCATTTGGTATTTATAATTATATGTTATCTTCTAGCTTGGTAAACATTTTAATTTTGAATTGTGCTTCCTGGACTCAAACGTGATCAGTGAAATGATCTTAGGAAATAACGGTATTTTGAGTAGACAGCTTAAGAATGACTAGACCCCTCTGTCTGCCCTTTTAGGGTTCTTGTAAAAATCATCCAAAATATGGTCCCTTACACTGTGTGGGATAGTTGCCATAGACCGTGTGTGTCCATTGAGTATTGAAAATAGAACTTTAAAGTTTACTTAGTAAATTTTTAAATTAAAATCCCCACATCGGGCTAGTAGCTCCTGGATTCATCAACCTGGGTTCAGACTCACGCTGCAGGTCTTACGTGCCTTGAGTCTAGTGGAAATAAGAACATTTTTGTGAGATCTTTTCTTCAATTTTGCAGGTTCCTTTTCAACCCCTCTGCCTGCCTGGATGAGCACCTGCTGCAGTTTAAGTTCTTGGGGATTTTAATGGGGGTGGCTGTCCGCACCAAGAAGCCTCTGGACCTCCACCTGGCCCCTCTGGTGTGGAAGCAACTGTGCTGCGTCCCGCTCACGCTGGAGGACCTGGAGGAGGTGGATCTGCTCTACGTGCAGACCCTCAACAGCATTCTTCACATTGAAGACAGTGGAATCACCGAGGAGAGTTTCCATGAGGTAAAGCCCGGCCATTCTGTGTCTGCTGGGGCTGCCTTTCTTAGGGACCAGTGAGCATCTTGCTGTGTGGAATTCAGATACCATCTTCCACTTGCTTTGGGGCTGGCCTTGCCATGCTCACTGCTGCCCATCAACAGCTCAGCCCCTGGCGTTAAAGTAGCTCCAGCCCCCATTAATCTACTGTGCTCGTAGGGTGGGGACCAAGGTGGACAGGGAGGCCCAGGGGGACTCGAACACATCAAAACCTGGTTGGGGGCAGAAAGATCAGCTGCATGTCTGACTCCAGCCAGATGAGTCCGCCTGTAAGAAACTGATCATTCCACCTGTTTTGTTTGCATTGTTTTTACCCTTAATATCCTAACTTAGAGGTGTTTGTTATATTTTTTGTAATGACATACTTTTTGTTGTCATTGCTACCATATAATTTTCTTTTTTCTTCAATTCTTAGATGATCCCTCTTGATTCTTTTGTTGGCCAGAGTGCTGATGGCCACATGGTTCCAATAATCCCTGGTGGAAATAGCATCCCACTCACATTTTCCAATAGAAAGGAGTATGTGGAAAGGGCCATTGAATATCGACTTCATGAGCTGGATCGACAGGTGAGATGAAGCATCTCCGAAAAGTGCGTGTGAATGCTGGAGCTTGTCTCTGGACGAGAGCCAGCTGCTTATTCCCAGCCGTTGGCACGTGTGCTTACTGTTTTGGCTCATTGGTACGTGTATTTCAAACCTCATCCAGAATCTCTGGGTCTTTCGTCTCCTTAGCAAGGCTAGATCAGCACTGAATTGGTCATTGGTTAGATCAAGGCCAACCTCTCAACCCGGGCATTCAGACCCTGTGCCTCCTAGTCTTGTCTACTTTCATGTTCTTACCGTTCCCCATGCTAGCAGCCCCACCCCATCTGGGCCTGTCACAGCCAGTGAATGAGCCCCCAAATGACCCTCCTTGTCCTGCAGCACTCCTTCACTCCCAGCTGAGACTACATCTCCTCCACAGAGCAGCTTCCCTCTGGGGTTCCTGGCCTGTGGGGAGAGCTTTTCCTTGCATTTCACATCCTTAGGTGCCTATGCTGTGGTCCAAGAATTAGGCCCCTGATTTGGGGTCCTGTTTCTTCAGTTAGATGTAAGACATTGGATGAAAAAATATGATTTCTGTTTCTTTTGCATTATCCTTGTCCCATGGTGACTTGGAGTAAGGATTTAATAAATTTATGGGAATATGAATGAGTGACCATTGAAATGAATATTGTCTGAAAATGGTTCTTTTAGTGTTGTAGCATTAATTCATTTCAAGACTACTTGCCTAGTATATGAGGGTCTTCTTTTTTTTTCTTTTTAACTTTCTCTTTAGACCAAGTTTAGTCACAAAATTATATCCTTTAGTCCTGACCAGAGAGCCCTGTCAGTGGTTCCAGGTTTTGTCGGGGAGAGAAGGTGGGCTCCTCCTCGATTGTACCTGAGCTGTGACCGGAAGTATAGTTGGCCCACAAGCAAGAGAAGTTCTGATAGGGCCCAGAGTTAGGGAGAATTGGCCCTGTTTGTGCCTGGACTTTTCAGGGACATGCAGTGGGTTTGAAGAAGAGACAAACAGGCCAGGGGTTGCCCAGCTCCAAGTGCCCACAGTGGTGCCCAGCAGATGCACACAGTCGTTCCATGAGAAACATCTCCTGGGCAGGTGGCCGCCGTGCGAGAGGGGATGTCGTGGATCATCCCTGTGCCGCTGCTGTCCCTCCTCACCGCGAAGCAGCTGGAGCAGACGGTGTGTGGGCTGCCCGAGATCGCAGTGGAGGTCCTCAGGAAGGTGGTGCGCTACCGGGAGGTGGAGGAGCAGCAGCAGCTGGTGCAGTGGTTCTGGCGCACCCTGGAGGAGTTCTCCAACGAAGAGCGGGTGCTGTTCATGAGGTTTGTGTCCGGAAGGTCCCGCCTGCCCGCCAACGCCGCAGACATTTCTCAGAGATTTCAAATCATGAAGGTCGAGAGGGTAAGTGAGCGAGCGGTTCTCCTTCTTAGGCATGTCTGTCTGCTCATGTTGCTTCCCTATTGCTTTCATGCTGGGAAAGCCAAACCGCGACCCTCAAGTAGCTTTGCCAATTCAGAATTAGTGCTTGGAATTCTAGTGATAGAAAAAACAACAGTAAATCTTGTTCAGAAAAAAAAGAAAACATTCAGTGGGGGTGAGGGGAGTCTTAAATTGATATAAACCTCATACTACAAGCAACAGCTTTCTCTGAAACGCCAGCCTCTTCCTGAGTGACAACTGCATGTGGGCAGTGGGTCACTGTATTGCCTGTGCTGCATCTGCCACCTCGGGTTGTCACCTGTGCACTGGGCTTACCTTGTTTGGTTTCATGAGGATCCTGACCCTTAGCTGGGCCTGCCCTGCAGGGGAGCCCGGCAGCGTGCGCAGTAGATCTTTGTGCCGTTTGCACACACGGGGCGCACTGCTTTTCTACAGCCCAGAGAAGGGCCCCAGCTGCAACGCCTTCCTCCCTCCAGCTGCGGTTTTGACAGATGGCTCTGGAATGATCGGGCTTAGAGTCATCTCTGCCCACGTCACTCTCTTCCTTTCAGACCTTTCAGGGGCCTTCTGCATTGAGCCAGGGTGAATGCTAGCCCACTCAGCCTCTCCTTACACACCTCCACAGTCTGGCCTCTGTTGGCATGTACTCTGTTTGCCCATAATGACTTGCGGGCCTTGTCGCCAGCAGACCACACTTTTTCCTACACTCTGGTGCCTTTGTGTCCCCTGCCCCCGCTGCATTAGTCATTTCTCCTGCCAGCACCGATGGCATCTCCTCCAAGAAGCCTTCCTACGTGTCAACCTGTGTCCCTGCCCCACTCCTGAACGCTGACCTAGTCAGGCCTCCTGTCTGCCTTCTGAGCCCTTCCTATATTCAGATGACCGTGTCTGGGTGTCTGCTGGCTTCATCTGTGCTACCCCTCCCTTGAGCTGGGTGGGCCTCCAAGCAGGCCCAAGGGATTCTTTCAGGAAGCAGTAACCGTGTGGCCTCTTCCCCCATGGACCTTTCCTGCCACTTTCGGTGACTGCCCTTCCGGTGCTCCTCCAGTTCGCACAGCGGGAAGTTCCTCCCACTGCTGCCTCCTGGGGCGTTGGGCCTGTGCTTCTGGCCAAGCTTGCTGCAGAAGCCGCACACAGGAGGGGCGATGAAAAAAGCGTTTCCATAAATGTTCTTCATGACGTGTCAGAAACCATAAGTTGTAAATCTATTAAGTTGCTTCAGAGAGAGGTAGGGAGGAGGAAATGGTCCACTTCATTCAGCTCTGGAAATAACTGTGGCCTTCTGTCTGCCCTGGCTGCCCCCCACCATCCCAGAGTTAATCCATCACCAATCTCCTGCCTGGGGCTTTCAGCCTCCAAAAAGTGGCCACTGTGGGCCTCTCCTTTGTGACCGTTAGGCCATTTCACCAGTTTCTAAATTTAAGTCATCAAAGCCACCTGTTGGCATTTCCCATTTTGGTGTCATTTGACACGACTTGTCTGCATGTGGACTGCCTGGGCCATCACTGGCTGGGCCAGCCGCCTGGCCTTGCCTCCTGCCTGCGTGTGTGGCCTCTGAGGCAGAGGAAACTCAGCAAGGAAACTCTCTTAAACTTTTTTTTTTAATTTATGAAAACAACATGATGCCAGGATGATCATTCCCAGTAGTCTGGAAAGTGATTGCATTTGCAGAAAGGGGGCAGGAACATGTATAGCCCTGTGAAAGTGCCTCAGACACACACAGAATTCTGCGTTCTGCTTGTGACCCAGTAGTTGCCCCTGAATGCTCTTCAGTTGTGCTGTGAGCCATCGCAAGTACCATTTAACATGGCTGTGTCACAGGCAAATGGGTGGACTGGGTGTTCATTCATTGCTCCCTCCTCTTCCGAGCTGTGTGTTGGTAGCTAGGCCAGGTGAAGGATGCAGAATGTAGACGTGATGGAGGCAGGTGAGCCTGTGAAAGCCATGGGACCTCAAGACTGCCCCTCCCTGTAGTGTGAGCCCCTTGGCTGGAAGGGAATCAACTCCTAGTGCACCCTTTCTCTGCGCCAGGCACTGTGCTGCTAAGTGTGCGCCCTCAAGCCACCCTGCAAGTCCGGGCATTGGGGAGAGGAGAGGCAGCACATGCCCTGGCCATAGCACACTGGAGCTGCACTCTTCATGCTTGGGGGCTTGGCGGCTTCATCCCACATGAGTTGGCCCTCCAGTCAGGTCCATGGGCCCATCGAGAAGCCTGGAGAGTGGTGTCTGGGCAGCCCCCGACCACCATTCGTCACAGCGCTACGTCTCTCTCCACAGCCTTACGACAGTCTGCCTACCTCACAGACCTGCTTCTTCCAGCTACGGCTGCCGCCCTACTCCAGCCAGCCAGTCATGGCCGAGCGCCTGCGCTATGCCATCAACAACTGCCGCTCTATCGACATGGACAACTACATGCTCTCACGCAACGTGGACAATGCCGAGGGCTCCGACACTGACTACTGACCACTGCGAGGGCCACCCCCCCTCTGTGCTCAGTAATGCTCACATCCAGTGTAACCTTGATAGACTTTTATGGTAACTACATAGATGTTTTAGGAACATAAACTGACATTATAAACAGTGGCCACGTTTAGTTACTCTAAATGTAACAAAGAAATT